TATCCTCAAAATACAGAGAACCGTTTATTTTTTCCGGGGGTATATATTGCTTTAAACAGAAATGAGATCGGTTCGGGTTTCTTTTTTAAATCGAACAGGGGTGTGGGTGAAGATAATGAAATAAACTACACCCACATCATCATCCCACATCACCCCCCACCCAAACCTTGCTTGCTCAAAATTTTGTCTATTTCGAAAAGAAAAAGTGCAACTATAAAATAAGTGGTTTTATGTAAATTGTAGAGCTTTTCACGCTGCATCTTATGGTATAATATATGGAAAAAGTTCTTAGAAATTTTTCTATTTATATCGATAGGAAAATTGCAGCGAACTTTTTTCCCATATCTTAGGTTTTGGAATGATTGGATGCGATTACCCGAACAACGTCGTGATGGTGCTTGTATTCGACCAGAAATTTCACGTACAGTCATATCACCAGAAAGCCAAAAGACGTGTTAGTCAGCAAATAGATTCAGTTAAATAGTACAATCGTTGAATATTGATTTCTACAGGTCAACATTATAAACGATATTTAGAAAAATTGTTAAAAATACTCTTCCTATTAATTGGGAATCGATTGATATCAGTTATCTTTCTAAAGTACAACAAAAAAAAAATTTCTCTTCAAAATAAAATTTAATATACAGTGACTACCAAAATTATCCGACAAGATGTAATTTGGATTTTATTTCGTAACGAAAGTGCTAGAAGAAATCCAAATAGTGATTTGAATAGAGAAATTTGTTTTCCATAAGAATATGATAAAATGATCATTATCGATAAATGCTCAAAAACAGAACATCCAAAATACCAAAATCTTGATTTTTCAACACTTCGAAGTCGTGAAAAAAACGTCGTTTTGTTTTTCTAGATCGATAGAGCAGCCAATTCTCTATAAAATGAGATGTCTTCGAACTTTCTACGATCTTCCTATCACAAGCTATAAGCATCACAAAAATCTGAAAAATGTGAAATTTATCAGAAAACTACGCAAAAACTGCATTTTTTAGGTTTTTGTGATGCTTATAGCTTGTGATAGGAAGGTCGTAGAAAGCTCGGGAACATCTCATTTTGTAGAGAATTGGCTGTTCTATCGATCTAGAAAAATAAAACGACGTTTCTTTCACGACTTCGAGGTGTTGAAAAACCAGAGCTTTGGTATTTTGGCTGTGGCGTTTTTGAGAATTTGTCGATAATGATCATTTTATCATATTTTTATGGAAAACAAATTTCTCTATTCAAATCACTTTTTGGATTTCTTCTAGCACTTTCGACTACGAAATAAAATCCAAATTACATCTTGTCGGATAATTTTGGTAGCCACTGTATGTATAGGATAAATTTCATCGAATACTTCAAGCACGTATTGATGCTTGTCCAGTTATTACTATATTTGATTTAAGTCATTTGAAAAACGATATGAAATGTGCTCAATTATGTCATAGTAATAATAAAGAATTTGTGGCGATTGTTGATACATTAGAAATAATGAATGATTTAAAAGTAATATGATAACCAAGGAGATATTTTATTTGAAAAATTTCTTCTAGAGAATGTACCTCGAACAGGTTATTGTGGTATAGTACAATGTCAATATGGTCAAACAAGGATCTACGTTACATCGAAAAGTTATAGATAATCGTTTCTCTCGTTTTTCTTTTGATAAAACACATTAGGTCAATTATGATAAAATTCATTTTATTCTGCTTGTTTGTTTGTTTTTTTGAAAATAATCTCATTAAAAAAACCATAAATTTCTTTAATATACCAAAGAATAGTCTATGTAATAGGAATCGATACATTTGTTTTCAGATGATTATAAGACAATGTTTAACTCATCATATTCATCAAATATTTTTTTAATCTTTAAATAATTATCATTTAAATTCTACACGTCGTGTAACTTCCGCTAGGGATTCAAATGCTTAGTCCAAAATAATATCAACAATTATTTTCATCTGTTGGTAAATAGATTTATTCGGACAAAGATATCGAAAAATCAAAAATTCGTCTTGAACAATTTGATCTTGGTTCAAAGGAAAGTGATATAGTTGAGAATATTGAATTTGATTTACCACCATTAGAAAGTCAAGATTTAAATGAATATTTTGAAATTATTCCACGAAAACAATCGAAACCATATATTTCTCTAATTAATCAATTAATTAAGACTCATATTCTACCAAAACCAACGCAATGGAAATATGCTAAACGATGGACAAAGTTTGTTTTCAATCGATTTATTTTATTATTGACGTTTTTTGCTTAAAAAAGATATTGATAAAATGGTCAAATAACAACTTCAATTGATTATCTGGATGAATAAGTGATGGTTTTTCATGTTGAAACTTTGGTTTGTGATTTGAGTGGCACACACTCTACAACGCTTTCTTCATATTAAAAATTTATTCTTTCCATTTCTCAAGTATTCTTGGTATAGTTCTCGTGTTAATCGATGAAGAATTCTGTTTACAATAAAATGTTGAAGTACATGATATAATTCCAATGGAATCAAATCCATCCTTTCCATCACTTGTTATCGGTCATAATGTTGCCTTTTGATCGAACTTATATATTAAAGAACAATATCAACGTTGAAGTAAAACAAGCAAATTCAATGAATCGAACGTTTTTTTGAAACAAGCGTTATCATTTAGACTACGGTTATGCATTTTCTTCATAGAATAAGTTTACATATAATGTATTCGGGTTTTACACATGCACAACGAATGCAATATCAAGCATTTGAAAAAGATTCATCATTAAAAATAAATGAGAAAGATGATGTATTGAAAGAAAACGATCTCGATAAAAAGTATTTATCTATGTTATTAGCGAGTAAAAAATATAAAGATGTGAAAACATATGCAACAAATGCGTAAAATTCAAGTATGTTGTTGATGAAAAACGAGATGTGAGTGAATCTTCGACTCGAATCAGGTCGAGTCCGAGGAGAAAACAGCAGAGACTTCAGTCATAAAGTCTTTGCAAGTCTGATAAAGTCAGCTATTTCTCCCTTGGTCGAGTCACAATAAATTGATCAATTTCGAACTTCGCATAAGACAAACAGCAACTCTAGATGAGATAGTTATTTCTTTATTTCGAATATTGACGGAATTTGTATAGATTCTCTGAAACGACTGCTAATATCTGAAAAATTCACTTTGATTGCCCTAAAACTATCATAAACCTTGGGTTGCGAAGACTTGACCCGTATCAGACCCTAATGTGAGTGATTGAGGAATTTGACATTTAGAATCTCGGATGAAAATTATAAAGTAGTTCAAATAATCTTGTATCTATACATAAACTTTATTGTAAACCAAGAGGAGTACCATTAGGTAAACCAATGCAACAAGTATTTATTGATGGGAATATTTTTCATGTTCGAAAACATTTTCAGACAAAGCGATTTTCATCAGAAAATATTTTTTGTCGATTTTGTTGAAAGGAATTAATCATTTTATTTTTTCGCTGCTGTTAAAAGGACTCAAAGTTATCTGAAATCATTGCCCATAAATTCTAATAATTACTTCAAAATGGAATACAAAAAAAAACCTTTTACATAGCTTTGCTCTTAAAATCATATTATCTGATCATACTGTTGATTTACTCAATGATATCAAACGAATACAATAAAAAGAAACGACTTGGATTTAAATGAAGTTAAAAAATGCTGGACGAAAAGTATCGTATCAGCTCCATGAGCCTCGCTGTGATTCTCGGAGTCATTGATCTTGAGAAATGACTGATGGATTCGGACTTCTCACGCTCAAAAACCTTTGCTCAAACTGTATAAAAAAACATCATTATTTTCTTAAAAAAGGTCTTTTTTAATAAAAAAAATCATTTGAAAAAGTTTTGAAAAACTAATCGTGTCAATCAAATTCTGGATCACAAAAACCTTTGGTCAAACTTGAACCTTTTCTAAGGATGTTTTTCTTTTGACCTTTGACCCTGACACATACCTACATAGACACAAACGCATTTTATTTCATATAATCCTCCCTATAGACGAGGGAATAATTATTATTTTTATAAAAACTTTCATTAATGCAAAACATACTTGAAAATTTCTTTCAATCTAGAAAAAGTTTATCTTCTATCATATTTACTATTAAATAAAGAATATAAAATAGACAAATGATACATCATTTTATTCCAAATTTGAACAACGTCAATATGTACCGTTTAATAATTCTTGCACATCCGTTACTGTTTTTGCTAAACATCTATTAAAATCAATAAGATTTTCCTTAAATTTGTCAAAATGATGAATAATAAGAGATAGTTTCTTGTAATATTCTTTAAGAACTTACCAAAGACTATATGACTATTCGAAAAGCATGTTTTACTAGGAGTGTACAGCTCACGCTCATGAGCGTGAGCGCTTTTGACTTGTGGAAAGTGGGATCCTCCCTGACCATGTTTTTCAACTTTATTCCCCGAAAATCAATATTGACGATTTTCGTGCATGGAGTTCTCCTCAGGTACCATCAAAAAAAAAAATTTTTTTTTTCGAGTCAAAACCAGATGTGCTTGCAGAATCACATGTGCTGATTACGAATATCACAATAAGAGCTCTCGAAATCCTTTTATTCCTGAGATAGTCCTAACTACTCTGCGACCTCAATTTTCCTTGTCGAGATCCTCATAGAATAATTAATCACTTAAGTTTACTCACAAACTTTTTTTCCTAATCCAAAATTTCGAGTTCTCTACGAATCTGAGCTTTT